GTAATTGCTAAGTGATGTCCCTTTATTTATATTAGTCTGAGACTTTTTCACCATACTCTATTGAGGAGGGAGAGAGTGGCACGGTGTAACTTAGCTGTCTATCAGTGTGAAACCTCTGCACATTAGGATTTACAGTAAAGATAACTTCTTTAAGAATGGCACCTTTGAATCAATACAACATGAAAGCCTAGAAATTTTGTTCCATTCTATGAACTTAAGTGGCTATGCAAATATCTAGTGCCCATGGCCAATGAATCTCTGCTGGAAACTTTTTGACATGCAAGGAATGACTTGTTTGTATCACAGCAGCTGTCAGCTTTCTGTTGCAAATATATAAATACAGAGTGTAGAGATATATTTACATGAAAAAAAAAAAATAATACTTGAATCTGGTTTCCAGGTTATTGCAGCTTTGTTCAATGAGTAATTCCATGAAACTTAGTTTGATGATGAAGTGTTTGTTGCTAATCATGTTTGTATGTTGACCCCAAAAATACATTTTTATCTTGACCCAAAAATATACTGTTTAATTTCATTCGTGTCTTGAAAGTTTTATTTTCTCTCCAAGTACAGTGAAGTACCTCCATATCATAAAGGGACATGTGATATGTACCTTATACCCTTCCTAGCTTTTTCTTTCAGGACATCTTGATAGTCTATCATCATGGAATGATCAGGGATAAGAATAACAGTATGCTGTGGTAAGAAGAGACATAGTTTTATCACAACAAGAGAAAAGTCATCAACTAGTAGAAGTGAAGAGTGTTATTTAATAGATCCCACTCAGTATGTTTTGCAACCGAGAAATTATAAAGAGTGCCATTTATTTTCCTGTAAATCTTATCTCCGAAAGACCCCTTACTATTTTGTATTTCTTAATAGTTAGAATAAATGTTTTTTATTAGGGTTGCTTACACCCATAATTTTTCAGTTTCATAATGTCAAATATATTACTTTGCATGTATCTCCACACACACGTTTCTCTTAGCTACCACCTTGTCTGAAAGGTGCATGCTTTTTTTTTTTTCTAGAGATGATTTCAAAATATGTTTCTTCCAATTTGAAAGAAAAAAAAAAAAAAAAAAAAATTAATTGCCTTAATATAGAGTGCATGGAAGCTAAATTTCTAATCTTTCATGTGGTTCACTTCAAATAGATAATAAATACCAAGAATGGAAACTAGTATTTGTCACGTAATATTAGTCTGGTTTACAGTACTTTGTGTTGACTAAATGCAAGTCATACCAGGTCTGTTCATGTAAGGCATAAAATGTATATTGCTGCATAGACTAAGTCTTTTTGAAAACAAATGGACTTGTTTGTTATGTTTGATCAGAAGATTATGAGTACGTGGAAGTATCATACACATATATTCAGCTGGGATTCCTTCAGGAATAAACTCAGTTTTTAATATCTTTGTCATGCATGGTGAAGAAATGGGACAATTAAAACTACTGGAGGTGATTATGACTTTAAAGGATCTATCGTTAAATGTAAAACTTGTTTTGTATACTCAAGCAGGTTGATACTTTTTCTGTCTTTCCCTCCCTCTCATTCTTACATTGTTTTTCCCCTCCCCCTCTTTCTCCTTCCTTTCCTTAAACTTATATCAACCTTGGATGCTGAGGTGTATACTCACGCAAAGCCAAATTCCAACCATTAAGATAAATACATATGTATTTCTTATAATATCTAACTGTACATAATGCACATTTACATATTTATTGTCAGAAATATCTCATGCATTATACTTCAAGATTTCAAGTATATACAAAGCTGCTACCTTAATTTGTAAATGTAAGTCATGAGAGTTGTCATTCCATCTATAACTTATCAAATTCATTGTACCTTATTTTTTTGTGTCATGTGTGACATGTTAAATAAAGCTGAAAGCAAAGATAACATATACAATGCTGTCTCACACCTCTTCCAAACATCAGTGAATTTTGTTAATTTTAAAGGTGTGTGCTAGTTCTACTATGTACTCAAAGTATACGTATCAATTTCCCATATCATGGCTATATTTCAGCATGCTAAACTTTGTTTACTTCACAAAAGCTTTCACAATACTAAAGCTTCTAAAAGGATTAAACCAGATTTCATTTCTTTACTGCATGGAAACAATTGATGCCCATATACTTCCTGAACTTCTGTTTGGTTTTTTGTTTGTTTCTTTCATTCTTTTTTTTTTTCTCCTCATCTTATACAATTTTCTATCTCTGATTGTAAAACTTTTACTGCAGTGTTCTAAGCTGCTGCCATATTTGGGGGTTTTGCATTTTCCAAACAATTATTATATCATAAGCTACTAGCATATTTTCCTGATAGGAAAGCTTTTACTTCTCCTGTTTGTAGCTTCCTGAACTCAAGCAAATTATATTCTCTCTACTAGCCATCAAGGAACTTCCTTTGATATAGTTCAGCAAAAGTAACCATACTCATTCTAGTTTATTTGGCATAAAGTCTATAATAACCGTATTGATCAGAATTGATCAGAATTGATCAGAGTTGATCTTTCATGAAAATATTTCTGCCATTTCAATACACTATTCCAGGAGATAAAACAGATGTTTTTATAAATTTGGGAAGATGACATCAGTAGCTTTCAGACAAGATGCCTCTATCTGAAGAAATTCCATATTTTTCTACTCAGAGATGTGCTTGCAAGTAGCTTCCCAAAGAGGCATGAGCAGTAATGTGTGCTTAGTTTTGAAATCATTATCCTGCAGTTTCTCAAGCACTTTACAAGTTACTCTTTGGATTATTGACTAAAGAGATATCACTCAATTTCATATCTTCATAAACATCTTCCATAATCATAAAATAATATATACTTCTCAAGATTTAACTATGCCAAAAGGTCCTTTAAAGACTATGGAGTTAATCTTTCCTGTAGAAATGAGTTTAATTATAAATATGGCTTAATTTTGTATTATGCACATCTTTGTAATATCTTTTTGCTTCAGCAAAGCAATATATTTCACAAAATATTCTGACAGGCGCTATAGATTTTATTTTTTTTTTTTCCTAAAATTTCCCTTATGATTGCAGAGACAACCTAGTCTCCTTCTATTGAGACTACACATTTATACAGAGAATACAAACCATTTATAAATGTTAGTTCATACGTCTGGATAGCATTTTATAAGCACTGTCTAAAGAAAGAATTAATCTCTTATTCTCAGCTGTCCTGATAAATCTCCAAATGCTGTTTTAATTTACCCTTAAATCTTTTATGAAAATCTTAATTTAGATCTTATTTTATGAAAGCCTCACCTATTTTACATATCATATTTTATTTTATTTATTTATTTATTTATTTAGTTTATCACTGTTTGAAGTCTTCTTTTTCCCTCCTTTGGTAATCTCTGATTCCTATGTGTCCTCTATTTGTTTCGTTTTGGTCACAAGACAACTGTCAGCAAACAGATCCCCTTTCACAACTCTGTTGTTTCTCTTGACCCCAATCATTTTTTTTTTTTTTACTTGTTGTAGATTGTTAATGTCTTTGATACAAATTAAAGTTAATGAAGAAACGTACTACTACTGCCTGTTCTTCTTGAATAAAGTAGGATACAAAGCCAAAAGGACAGTTTACTTACTGAGACATAATTGTCTGTTTACATCCAGTTATTTTTTTCTCTAAATCTTTACTGATCACTCCAGAAGTTTGCTTATGGTTTTATGTTTGTTTTTCATTTGTTTTCTCAATAGAATATGATTTTTTTAAAAGGCATATGCATTAAAACTAAATGCCTAGCAACTAATTGTTCAAAGACAAAATGAACAGAATCATAATTTCTTCAGGAGATATCAATTGCATATCTAATTACGAAATCACTAAAATTAAAACAATGTTAAGGTTTCAGTAAATATTCACAGTTTACATGAAATGTTTTGTACTCCTGGATACTCCTTTATGCAATATATTCCAGTAATGTTTATAACTTAATCTTCCTTATCATGTTCTTAATATACAATATTAGAGTCAACTTTACCCACACAATGGTTTAATATAATACTAACACAAATAAAATAAAAAACAAGTATAAGAACTATGTGGCGAAAAAAAAAAAAAAAAATCCCACATATAAAGCATATTCATATTAACAACAAAACAATTCGTTCTCCTGAAAATTAAATTTAAAACAATTAGCAGTCTTGCAAAAACATCTTCAGAACAATATTACAATATTAGGTAGGATCACTGGGCAGTATCCCTATGTATTCTGAAATCAAAAGCTGGATCTTCAGCTCATGTCTTTCAATAGTCACTGCAGACAAACGGAACTCAGAACATCTGTCCTTGCTGAATCTCATTCTATGGATTCTAGAAGCCAGTTCTTGTTGTTGTTTTCTAATTTTGCAGCCAAATTTTTGTACATAGTCAGAAACACCTGACTCAGATAATATTTACTGAATTGGAATTGTTTTGCAAAAGCATATGTCACAAAGTTAACTTAGTATTTCTTCTGTTTGTAGATTATACATACATACATACATACATACATATATACATATATATATATATATATACACATATGGAAGGCATGCTATGGAATCTTTCCTCTTATTTTAAGAATCTTAGTGTTTAGCTATCTCACCATAGATGCTTCATGTCATCAGCTTTTGCTACTGAAAATTTTGAAAAAATACTAGCACTTCATTATCTAAACAGAGTTCAACATTTAGAAAATATTGAAAAGTATCAGGGCTGTGGAATGTAATTTTGTTATTTTTGAGGGTATGGAAGGAATCATATTAGAGAATCATCATATAAAAATGGCCAATTTCTTCAAATAACTGTTTTTGGTTTTTTTTTTTAGATAACAAAATACAATCCATAAATGCTAGTAAAATATGTTGCGTTTTTCTTTAGACAGGAAAAAGAGAATGAAAGGAATGCTAGTAATGTAGAGAAAGCAACAGTATATTGGAGATTTTCTATTACAGCAACAAAGATTAATGAAGAGAAATCAATGAATTGACATATAACCTACCCATGGGAGTTCCCACGCCATAACCTTTTGAGTCTATCAGGCCTCCAATCTGTGTTAGGTTACAGTTCCGCTGTGTGACAAACTCAATGGTTGTCGACTCCATTAAAAATGCGTAGTCAGAGGTAAGCACACGCTGGATGCCTTCTTCATTGCTTTTAACAAGTACTGATTGCCTCCTGCTACTCATGAAGGCCCACATCTTATCATAAGTGGAGATTTTTGATTTCTGAAAGACAAATATTAGATGGAACAGTAATAAAGATAAAACACGTTTAAGAGTGAATGCAAATTCCAAACTTACACATTATTCTCTTATCATATTTTATTGCATGTGCCAGATTTTACAACAGCAAATGTAAGAGTGCCTATATATTTCATCTCATCTGTGGAAAACAAAGCAGATGGACATATTCTCAAGAAAATGCATTATATTTATAGTTAATCTATTTTTCATTCTGTACACGCTTTTATTCGTGTAGAGTGAAAACCTAAAAGTTTTTAAAGTCAGTGAAAAACTATTAAGGATTTTAATATAGTCAAGTTCATCAACAGTGTTGGTGAGTTTCATGGGAGAATTTGTTGTATTCTAGTACATTTGAAATTCACTCATATTTCAATCATTCACCTACTCTTGAGCACTTTTAAAAACCTACTGCGCAGTGTAGCAGTGATCAGAACACTTACAGACAGCAATGTATGGAGAAAAAAAGTCATGAGGAAGAAGGCAACAAATATACAATTTACCACACTCTAGTAATATTTATTTGCCATTACAAACATAACCGCTAAAAGTCCTAAAGTTGAATATGTATCTATTGCTTTAGTATTCCCTGAATGCAATGCACTATTGTGTTATGGATGAGAGAGAGACAAAGAAGACAAGAATTTGGTACAAATTGCTGCTGCACAGTTATAGAGGAGTTACTCCCTTTCTCTACGCATCGGCTTCAAAAAAAAAGCAACCGAACTTTTGTAAAGTACTGTGTAAGAGATAATGATAAATGATAGATAAAATTAAGGCATTAGAACACTTGATCATTTCATATTACATTTGTCACCACGTGTTTAATAATGTTCCAAACTCAAATGTATTAGAAAATGTTCATTAAAGTTATATCTTGCATAGAAAATAAAATGTAGAGATACAGTATGAAAACTGGTATAATAAAGCTCTTTCAGGCATCTTTCATCTTTTAATGTCAGCCTTAAACATAACTTTGCTATCAGCTCTGGTGGAGATACTAGGCAAAGATTGACACTACAAACCTTTCTGAAGTTCCACTGACTGGCAGCCATAAAATCTGTCAAAAGGAGAATTAGTAGTGTATGTGGAATGAAAAGAACATCTATTTGGGGAAGAAAAAAAAAAAAGACAACTTTGTCCCCTGCTGGGACAGAATCCAAGACTTATTTCAGTCTGCCTGAGGACTTAGCAAAACAAGCATTTGAACTAACTCTAGTGTCAATGCTAACAAAACGGAAGACTTCTAGAACTCTGCATGAACACAGTATTCCTGTACTGAATGTTATGCAAATGACTATAAAAGGTTTTAGTAACAATCAAAGAGGAAGTCATTTTTTTCTTCAGAAGATACTGTGAATCCATAGAATTAAGAAAACCAAACAGATATAGCCTCTATTCATAGGGTTTGTTTTCTCAATCAAATAATTCTTTGAAGCACTTAATACTACACTATATGCAGAATAAGATACTTTAAACAATGCACATTGGCTCTGCATTACTATATAATGCAGAAAGAAAGGAACATAAGTGTTTTCCAGTGTTTGTAAAATTTTGCCTGTATTATCATCTAATTTTTCACCATACAATCTTTATTCCACTACTGAAAGCAAATATTTAAGCCAATATCTGAGTAATACAAGGAATTTGCAGAGAAAACAATTTGGGTAAACTGTTAAATACATCGCTGGTACATGCTGAGAGGGAAAACATCACGTTAGAGCCATACTAGAAAATAAAGTAAGTAAGAATGAACGCACATAAGTATTTCTGCACTTATGTTGTAAAAAAACATTACCAAGTTAAAAATATGTTAGCAAAAGGTATGGTTACTCTCTACACAAGCATGTGGAAAAAGAGCACTCTCAAGGACAAGACGTGTTCATTATGATGATTAACTTTATAAATTAGGATGATGCTTCTGAAAAAGAAGGAAGAGAAGTCACAAGCAAAACAAAATCAAGGAGAGCTTCTGCATAGTAGTGTGCTTGCTGTAATAATTAAAAAAGAAAGAAGATCCTGAAAATTACAATACTGTCAGTATCACTTGTGCCAGATGAAATTATGGAGAAGATCATTATGGGACATGTTGAAATACATCTGAATGCACACATTGGTTAGAGTCAACACAGGTTCACAGGGAGAAGTCCTTGTTAAATCTCCTTTTATTAAAAGGTTACCCACCTAGGTAACCAGGGGAAGCCAGTTGATGTATTCTTTTTGGATTTCAGCAAGGCTTTTGGTACTGATTCTCACAGTATCCTTCTGGACAAAATGTCCAGAATACAGCTAGACAAAAAGATAACGATGGTTGAACAGTTCATTGACAGGTCAGGTTCAAAAGGATATAGTAAATGAGGTTATATCAGGCTGGCAACTAGTCATTATTAGAGTCCCACATGACTCCACTTTAATGTTTTCATCAGTGACTTGGATACAGGACTTGAAGATATATTAAGTAATTTTGTGGATGACCTTAAATTGAGAGGATCTGATGACTCCCTTGAGGGTAGAGAGGCCTTGCAAGGAGATCATGACAAATTAGAGGGCTGGACAATCATCAACCACATGAAGTTTTAGAAGAGCAAATGCTGGATTCTGCATCTGGGATGGGGCAAATTATACTTGTATGGACTAGAGGACAAGAGGGTTGATTCTTGTTGATAGCAAGTTGAATCCAATCATGCGCCCTGGCAGGAAAAAGAGCCAACCATATCCTGGGGTGCATGAGACCCAGAACTGTCAGTCAGGTGAGGGAAGGGATTGTCCTGCTGTACTCTGAGCTGGTGTGGCCTCACCTCAAGCACTGGGTACAGGTTTGGGCACCACAATATAAGAAAGATGTAAAACTACTAGAGAACGTCTACAGAAGGGCTACGAAGATGGTGAAGGGTTTAGAGGAAAAGATGTATGAGGAGTGGCTAAGGTCACTTGGCTTGTTCAGCCCAGAGAAGAAGAGACTGAGAGGAGTCCTCATCGTGGCCTATAGCTTCTTCATGAGGGGACTGGATGGACTGGCACTGAACTTTTCTCTCTGGTGACAGTGACAGGACCCAAGGAAACAGCATATAGCTGCATCAGGAGAGGATTAGGTTGATTGTTAAGAAAGGGTTTTATACTAGTGAGTGGTCAGGCCCTGGAACAGGCTTCCCAGGGCAGTGGTCATGGCACCAAGCCTGACAGATTTCAAGAAGAATTTGGACAACATTCTCAGAAGTATGGTTTGAATTTTGAGTGGTCCTGTGTAGAGTCAGGATTTGAATTCAATGATCCTCGTGAGTCCCTTCCTACTCAAGATATCTACTAGTCTATGGTTCTTCCATCCCTAAAAGGCAGAACTGAAATGATGTCAGAGAAAACAGCCTACCTATTTGTGACTTAAATTCAAACTGGTATTTAGAAATTCTTACAAAAACAATCTATAATAAAAGAGATTTGTTTTATGTATAACATAGAATACTTATTTGAGAAAACAAAACAAAACAAAGCATTTGATTCAGAAAAATACCATCACAAATGGTTTTCCTCTGTGTTTGGAAAGTTACTCAGCAGATTCAACTAACTAAACTCAAGAAGCTGGAACAATCAAAAGCATCAGGAGCCCATTTGACATTGAACTAAACAGAATGACACTCCAATATGTACATTTTGCTTCTGGTGGTTATGACTGTGTCATTCATATCAATAGAAGCAGATGCTGTGATTTAAACATTATGTTTCTATCTTCTTTCACTGTGCACAAATCAGTCTGGTTAATCAACTTACATACTCCATCAAGGAAGTGGATTATTTTCTCTGAGTTACTTCACCATTTTGTGTAATCTAACTGGAAATCAATGCCTCAACATCCAGCTTAATGCAAAATCAACTGGAAATGATGTCCGCATAAAATAACCTGTGATGACATGATTTATCATGCCTGTGTTCCCTCAGTAATGTTGAAGATAATACAGAACAGTAAGAAAGCTGCCTATGACTTGCAACATTTGAATTTCACTGAATTAAAAAGGAGAACTAAATAACATAGAAGTTGGACATTAAAAGGTTAAACAAATTAAAAAAAATTACATACCTGGTGCATAAAATTGTAGTTCTAACAGTGACATTCAGAGTATACTCACAGTGAAAATTCTCAGTGTTCTTAAATTAAAGACTATTGGAAGATAACTATGCATATTAGAGATCACAAAAGAAGGTATGGCAAAGGCTTTAAGTTAGTCTGATGCTATGCATATAAGTGAGGCTGAAAACAGGAGAATCATTATTAGGAATACGTTAATATTGTGCCCTGAAGTACTGTCTAGGAAAGAAATATCTGAGCAGTGAGACTGGAATATGAGGATAGAAAAATATCAAGATGTTGGGTGAATGCCAAAATAAACAAGGATCAAAGGTCAGGGAAGTATACCTCATGATACAAGACAAGATTAAGCAATTGTACAGTAAAAATGTGGTAGGCAATTTCTGACCTTTTTCTACAGGGGACTGTATAGAATGCTTATTACTGATACATTAATGAAGATATTTGTTTTATGATGGCATGCAACTTACTGTCTTCTAAAAGCGTTGAGATGTAATGTACAATTGTGCAATGAACTTTGCTCACAATCATGCAATATTTAACACAAACGAAGCAGTAATAACAAAAGAAAGATTAAATGTAACTAAGATTAAATACCAAATAAATAAATAAATCAGAAGCCCAGTTCCTATGCATTTGGAACTGCTATTCAATACATGTGAATAAAACCGAGACAATCTTTACATGAAATAAAATGGCAGACTCCCAGAACTACCTCACTATTTCCTATTTCCAAAAGGGCCTATAATACCTTTTGTTTTCCTGAGCTCTGTGTTGTTAGTGGAGACGAATAACTTTTTTATTTTTAACCAACCTTTTTTTAAAGTTACAGAATTCATGAATTTTTTATGTCTGAAAGAATGTTTATTCTTACCTTCTGTAAAACTGAGTGGATTGCCTCACA